CATGCATTACATGAGATCAAGTATATTATATCTAAACTCATGCATTCCCCGTCTCACTCGTTGGGACAGATCGTACAGTTTTCTGAGCTGCACAAACGATCATAGAGACGGTTTCGAACTAACTGGCGGCCTAGGGTGTTGGGTGGGATGTCAATAATCGTTACATAATTTTTAAGACCACTNGTGAGGCATTCGTCCTTCCGGTTCATCTTTGGATTTTTGAAATTTATCCAAAACGCCTCAAGAGTTTTGCGCGTTGATGTTTTTGATACCCGCGCTAGGATCCGCACATTCACTTCAAAATCATCGCCGTTGTGCTTTTGTGCCCTATGCGTACCTAGAGGGGTGTTTAAACGGATTTTAGCTTTCCCATCTAGATGTTCTTTTATGCGGACACAAAGTGGTCTACCCGTTTCCCCGATATATTCCTCGCCGCATGCATTACATGAGATCAAGTATATTATATCTAAACTCATGCATTCCCCGTCTCACTCGTTGGGACAGATCGTACAGTTTTCTGAGCTGCACAGACGATCATAGAGACGGTTTTGAACTAACTGGCGGCCTAGGGTGTTGGGTTGGATGTCAATAATCAGTACATAATTTTTAAGACCACTTTTTCTTGAGCACTTTTTAATGGCGTGACTTACTTCATTTGATATGAAGGGCAGCTTAAAGGCGATCCTACTGTCGTCTGAAATATTATTTTAGGAAACTACCCAACGTTTTCCTCTAACCCGAGTGGCTTCTACTTCGTAGTCATTGGAAATGGCAATTTTTCATGCCAGGTTTGCCGGTAAGTGCCTATATAACAAGGTGGAAGCTCCAGTTCTCGATCACCGACCCTTACTCTACTGTCGATACATAGACGACTGCTTCATCGTCTGTTCCACACAAGAACAGATGGATGAGTTCTCTGAATTATTAAACCGACAGTCAGAGTATATAAAATTTACACGAGAAAAACCTACCGAGAACTGGCTTCCATTCTTAAACATCCAAATAAGGCTCTCAGTAAGTGGCTATGTAACAAAATGGTATCGCAAGCCAAGTAGTAAAATCATTCTAGTTCACTGCTTCTCCTCTCATCCTTCACACATGAAAAAAGCACTTATCAAAAACATGTACCGTAGGGCTAAAAATATGTATACAGGAAAAGAGGAAAGGAAGGAATCGCGAAACCTGGCACGAAAAAGTGCCATTTCCAATGGCTACGAAGTAGAAGCCACTCGGGTTAGAGAAAAACGTTAAGAAAAAGTGGTCTTGAAAATTATGTAACGATTATTGACATCCCATCCAATACCCTACGCCAAATCACTTTATTTGTCGGCAAGTATAAAAACCGAAACATACTTTGTATATCTTACCAATTCTTAACAAAGGCTGTCAGCAAAGCATTGGATGCTAAACGAATTTCTTTTCCATGATTCACAAAGTTTTTGAAAACTACATCTTTTATTCACTCTATAACCGTTATAATCCTTTTAATGTGCACTTCCAGCTCGCAACTTGCACAAAATTACAGCAAATACGATTTGCAATCTTTACAATTCACAACCTTCACGTACATTTCTATAATATAGGATTTCTTGAACTATCCCGTTCTGAGTTCGGGTACAGTCTATCTGATCTCTTATGAAGCGTGCGGAGACGAATAGGTTGGCGAAAGAGGTAGACCGCTCTGCGTCCGCATAGAAGAACACCTAGTCGATAAATCTAAATTAAAACCAAACACTCCACTAGCGCACATAGGTTGCAGGAGCGCAACGGAGAAGATTTTGAAGTAGGAGTGACTATCCTCACGCACGAAGCGAAAACATCAGCGCGTAAAACTCTTGAAGCGTTTTGGATCAATGCCAAAAATTCACAGATGAACCGCAAGGAGGAGTGTCTTGTCATCACGCCTGACCTGGCGCCATACCTCAGGCTAATCCAATGACCTGTCACAGACACAGTCCTCGTCCATGTATTACTCGGTGCGGCTGCTTTCCATCAACTGACTTAAATACTTACAACAAATAAACGACCCTGAAGGAGGCGAAACCCGAAACGTTAGCTATTGCATCCTAATAAATTCTATAATAACAACTTCGTGTCTGCTTATTGAAGAAAAACATCGAATTATCAATCAGTGCCGAGGTTAACAGAAAGTCGATCTTGGGAATGTTCCGTTCTGTTGTATTTATTGAAACGGCCTTAACAAAAATATTTGTTAAATACGTTAAATCTACTTCTCATTTCCTTGGGATGTCTTCTAGTAAATTTGGCGCGACGATATATATGTCTCTGTATACATCTCCCATTATATAAAACCCGACACAACGACTCCGTTTCTTAGAGTGTTATCCTCCGGGATATTGCAACTTGGAGGTGAAGAAACTTGCACTCTGTTTATTTGAATCAAATTGCTGTAGACATGTGATTTGAACACTTGCGTCTACGCATTCGGCACATTTTCGCAGTGCATCCTTCCTCCCACACACCCATCATTCAGTTCCTCCAGTTATTGAAAAATAATCGTATATCGTTGAAAAACCAACAACTCCGTTAGAACTGAAAATTCGGCGTCGTCCCAAATGGCTGACCCGCTGAAACGCCTCACTTCCATTGCGTATTGCTACTCACGCGAAGCGTGATACCTATAAATGTCATAACAGTTTTGCGGAGACTGGCCGATGACATACCTATAAGTCTCATTTTCTCTCCAAACTTATAGAACTCTTTCCCCATCGGGAAAATGCTCTACTACACACTTGGAAATATACAAATAATTTGCACATTTCAATGCTATACATGCACTATAGCTATGCTCTACGTATGTTTTTTTATATTTTATATGACCCGTCTAAGTCTACTGTACGGAACCCAGCACTTCTCACATTCGGTTCGTTTCCTCGCATCAACTGTCCACGAAGATGTTCCAATTTTTTACGTGTGGTTTCGTTTGCTGCCTGAGGATTTTCATTTCAACTTGAATGTCGTGGAATGTTGGTCGATTGGTTGGCTCGGAGCGGAATCGAACTAGCACAATGCTGGCGGTGACGAACATCACTACCACTATGCTATTTGGTCCCTCTACTTACGTCCATGCCATACATGCGCAAAACTACTTCAATTATGTCTGCTGTAGTGCATGATAGTTATCTTATAGAACGTGCGGATATAAAAGATACTGAAATTAAAGCTAACAAGTTCCAAAACACTTCCAAATGCTGACAGTAATATGTTTTGAATGATGGACCATAATAACACGTAGCGAGTAGCACCACAAATATCATTCACACCCATAAAACGATAAGCAAAGTCTTTTATAGAATCCATTCATATTGGCGATTAATTAATTATTAGTTATTAGTTATTATTAGTTATTAGTATTAGTGTAGTAGTATTAGTGTAGTTATTAGTGTTAGTATTAGTGTTATTATTAGTTATTAGTTATTATTATTATTAGTTATTAATTATTAGTTATTATTAGTTTTCTAATTATCGAGCAAAGTATTGTTTGTTTTCAAAAATCAGCAAGTCCACAAAGGCTGAAAATTAGGCGTCGTTCATTCCACAACAACCTAATATAGACATTGTCGCGAGAATCTTAGGCACACTAATGAACATCCACTCTGCAAGCATCGAACTACTCTGAAAGAGTATTATCAATGTAGTTTATTATTCAATCGCAGCAAAAACTACCTAAGTGTCGAATTCCGGCGCTCAGTTAGGGACATTTCTGCTCCCTCTTCACCAACAATGGTCTATGTGGTGCGCTCTACTCTATTCAACAGCAATGGTTTATCTTCCCAAAACAAACCCATTTGGAAAAGCTCTTTATTAATCATGAAAGGGGCGGTACAGCTTTGCAAAGGGAAAGTGGAGCATGGCATATGTATTGAACGGGTTGCTATCTACTGAGTACAAAAAATGCAGCAAGCTCTGCGTAGTGAAATAGATCACTGTGAAGCAAATGTATAGGGTGCAATCCAATTCGTCCACTTTTCTTCCAGGAAGCTGTGCCTCTAAAGGCTTCCTTAGCCAACCGTTTGCTTGACCGCAATTTTAACTTATTATTTACTGCTTACTCTTTCTAATGACAGGGTATATTGCGAAATATAACTTCATTGATGCCGAGATATTTGCAAAGCTCCGGACCGCAGGTGTCTGCGGTGACGAACGAACGCCCTATTGTCCCTTCCGGAGAGTAACGAATTCACCACCACACCATGCAGGTCCTTCGTTCCTCCTGTCCTTCAGCTAGTTATATCGATCCCTGCCACCAGCAATCAACCGTCAGCGGGAATGTTATTTACCAAATTTGCTTGACCAATGAAACAAGCTGTCGGTTTGCTAATTTTCGAGAGATAAGAGGTCGCATAGCTAACACTGCAGAGGATATCCTCCAACACATCCTAAATTTGCGCAGAAAACTTTTGTGATTATTTATAACAAGAACTGCAACTTATACTTCGGAACACCAGTATTTCATGCTAGCCTATGCTACAAATTACCTCACAACATACAAACTTAAATGGGACCGTCCCGCTTTCGCCTATCGTATTTTACAATTTCAGAAGCTCGCGTCTCTCCTTTGGGCATGGAAATCTTTCGGCAGACTATATAGAATGTAGTAAATACCATTCTGTTCAATCGAAGATTTGACTAACCGACCTCGTTGTACTCGTTGCTCGACTGTTTTTCCAGAAGATTTCTTCTAAAAAACATCCTAAGTGTTACTAACGCGAAAAGAATGCTGAGTATTGAAGAATTACAGCCGGGAACTCAGTCGCCACAGAATTCAATTAGTTGCCAAACGATTGACCTCATCACACCACACATCGATTGCGATGGACCTTGAGCAGTAACGGCCAACCGCTGGGTAAGGTGCAGTACAAAAGAAGAGTAGAAGCTTTATCACATTAATCACATTTAAGACAGTATTGAGTAACGAAATATTGAAGTACACATTTGTTTAGAATTTTCTTACTGTCCATTATTGATTTCACTTTGTTTTACTTCTTCTTTCCTACCACTGCTCCCACTAGTCCTCCTATAATTGCTCCATCTATAGCTCCAGTCACCCAGTCTGAAGAGAGTTTAAGTCAAAGGATGGGTAATGTTGCAAATGAAACACTGTAAGGCAACGTACTTGGACGATAGCCATATCCGAGACCGCCACCGCCATAGTTATAAAACGGAGAGCCATAATAACCCCACTGGGCGTCCGTTGGAATGGTCAGTAACGCGAAAAGGCTGAGAAAGACGAGTAGACAGTTCATGCTTAAAAATTGGCGGATTTACACTTCTAATGTGTGAATTACAGTGCGTGCTATAAAAACTTGGAAAAGGCGAAGAAAACCTGGTGATTCTTGTAGAATGAAAGCTAACATTCTATTTCAGAAGTCCAATTGTGCACAGTGGTGATTTTTATTTGAGCATGCTACGAAAAAGCTTGTTAGTTCAAAAAATAGATCACATTTCAAAAAGTTTATGATGTACGGATATAAAGGATAGAAAGGATAAAGCTCTTGTCGTTGATTAATCCCTGAGGGATGCTCCATGCATTCCACTTCATTAAGCATCGTTTGGAAGTGATTGAATGCATATCTGGATTTTACAATGACTCGCAGTCTCCTACCGATATAACGAGCCAGCGCTGTTATCCTCCCAGAGAAGTCTGGTACCAAGTTGCCGATCCCGGAAGGATGGAAGGCTTGGTGGGCCACGGGAGCGGGGATCGCTTCCACGTGTGTGTTGCAAGGCGGCTCCGAGCACTGCGCCACACGCGCCCATTTGTACATGCACATACAGATATAGATGTAATTACATACAGTACAGAATTGCTTGTTGAAGAAATTAGGTGTAAAGTTAGAAGGTTTGATAGCAGCCGAAAGAAGACGACACAGTGCGCCAAAACAGGCATGTGGTTCTACCACAATATCCACATAATTTGCAGTCTATCAACAAATTAGCAGTTTAGTAAGAATACTCGTACGGACTCATTGGTGTTGTAACAATGACGTTGTACAAATATGGTGACCTTCATGTTTTCGACTAATCTGAATCATCTCCACTCTTGTCATCACCGAAGAGGATTCGAACGGAAGATGCTTAGAATACTTCAGCTTGCTTAAAATGCGAACGGGAATCTGCGTCATCAAATATCTTGCAGCCCTAAAACCTTCACCTGTAGCGATGTGATCAACATTCTCTAATTCCGCTTCAAATGTAAATATACCTAACCTTAACTTCTTATTTCCTACCTACTGCAGTTTTCACGGCAGGGCATTATGCGAAATACAACCACAACGATGCTGTGATATTTGCAAAACTTCTGACTTCAGGTGACTGCGATGGGGAGCGAACGCGATATTACCCTTTCCGGGAGCCAACCCGTTCACCACCACACCATGCGGGTCCTTCGTTTCGTTTGTCTCTCAGCTAGTTTTCTATCGATTATATTTTCGTTTCATTCGATTTATTTAGTTTTGCAAATGTCCCAGCGTCGCTGTGGTTGTAAATCTTTTTATATGTTACAATTAATGACTGATTCACAGATTACTGAATGTTTTCTATCACCCCGATATTCCTGTGCTCAATCCAGAATTATAATAAGCATTGATTCCATTATAACGATGGCAGTAAAGCACAGCAAATTGGGGTGTCTGGCTAGAAATCGAAGATCACATTCGAGATTGAAGAGTTTGCCGAATCTGTTTTGTAATTCTAAGGTGTTCCTCATTTTGTTCCAACGTTCCAACATTCGCCTGTTTTGCGTTGCTCGCTAAAATGCTTACTATTGATGACAAATAAGATTTCCTTCTTGCTCATCTTCATTAAAGCTGATGACATCATCACAATCTTATTTAAAGTTGTTGGTGCATGAAGCGTCAATTTAAAGTTCGGGTAAAACCGTCCATCTCCTTGCTTTCGTTCAGACATCTTGCGTTCCCTCAGCACATGTTCAACATTTCCTGCTCCCAGCCACTATTCACCGTCAAGCAAGGACAACCATGGAAATTCTATTACTTTTGAGTCAATAGCGTCGATAATAGGATTTCATAGGAAACACGATTAAAAAGTGTGGGTGCTGAAATCAGAGCCTTTCTAACGACGATTGTGAAAGCCTCTTGGCTACTTTCGAATTGACTTTTTCATTTTAAGACTTTGTTTCGTTCTAGAACTGTGAACTAAAAATACGCAGCCGTTTTACCTTACTTGCGAGCGACAGCAGGCTTTACTTCCCCGCTCACTAAGTGTTATCCGCAGAACACAGTAGTCGAGACTCTGATCATTCAGTGCCTGAAAGAACGTGTTCGTTTTGTAGCAAGTCTTTCCCGTATTCATCTAGTGACCATGAGTTATTTCTGAAAATTGGCCTTCATAAACTCTTCACTTTGGAGTTTCGTACTCTTACTTCTCTGCACAGACAGCGTCGCATGGCAATATTTTTTTTGTCGCTCTTCTATTCTTATTCCTTTCATTGCTATTTTTTTTATTTCCATTGTAATAGTAGCTCAACTAAACACTTAGTTTCCATTTTACCACCACAACAAATCAAAGTTGATGGAGATAACCAACCATCGTCCTCTATCAAAGGTCACGACCAAGTGATATGCTTTAGTCGAGTGGTATTCCTCTCAACTTTAAGAAAACAATTCCTAAAGCTCATGCAGCATTTCAGACTGCAAAATTTCAATTTTTCGAAAACAGAGAACTCGAAAACACAGCAAGCTATGCTTATATTGAACCATTATTATAAGGACTATTATAGAACATCTTTGTTTTGAACACTGCTGTGTTGTTTTCATCTACAGAAGTAGCCGTTGACAAATTCCGGTTCTGAATTGTCGCCCTGACGAGACAAGCAACAAATCAAGTTATCATTAGTGCATCGTGAACGTAATAAACGACAGATATACCAGAAGAATCTGCGCATTACACATACGCAGTTAACTTAACTATTACTCTATTAATTAAAAATATTTGATAATATATAACAACTATAATGATGAGATATTTGCAAAACTCCGAATCGCAAGTGTCTGCGGTGGGGAACGAACGCGCTATTGTCCTTTCCGAAGAGTAACGCGTTCACCACCACACCATGCGCATCCTTCGTTTCGCCTGTCTCTCAGCTAGTTCTATCGATTCTTTGCCATCAGCAATCAATGTATAGCAGTTATCCGTCCTTTTCAAGCTAACTATAGCTCAGAGACAAAGATAACTATCGAGTGCTAACTAAAGCTTACAAAAGTGTTGAGCGGTAGTGAAAAGATAACAACCACCTCATCAATGCTGATCTTTTACACTTTACAGCTCCTCTTGCTCTGCACAAAGACTGTCATAAATAGAATACGGTTTAAACATGTTATTAACAAAAGTATACTTCTAAGACAGATAAAGAACAAATAGGCCAAGATATTAGGAGCAGAGATCTTCCCGGAAATTGAACGTTAGACGCGATACTAAAGGGGTAGGCGATGTCCTTTATTCTGCAAATGTCAATCAAACAATATTTACTGAAGCCACGGTAACGCTGCTCCAGGGATGCGATACAAGTGAAGCATGATATTAACAATATTTTCTTTACTGAGCAGATTCGATGAGCCAGACAGGAAGAAACGATGTTTAATCTGCCCGTGTATTGATCTTACGAGCCTTATTTTAACCTTTGTTCATAAAACGGGCTAAATATGGGATCTGAAAAGCTCTATTTTTCGATATGTACATGTCTTCTTAAGGAGAAAACTGTGAATTACTTGATTATTGCCGAGGTTAATAGGAAGTTGGTTTTAAGTTATCTCACGTGATTTCGGTTATGTTGAAGCCGAAAGTTGAAAAAAATCATCATAAGGGAACCCACCATCAATTTCCTCTTGAAAATCGGTTCTGCATTAACATTCGTGATTTCGTAATGGTGAGGTGTGTGACTGATATTCGCCTTATAACGACTTGCCTCCACCACAGGAGTCGCTGTTGTCTTGAACGAATCCCTTTTGTAAAGCATCAATCTTCCCTTCTATCAACAATGGCCAGTGAATGGGTATGATGACGAATTGGGAAGGCGCAATAACGGTTGTTTTAAGTTTTCAGGGTGAATCACGCTTGAGCAACATTCAACATGTTAGCGGAAGAAGTCTATAGAAAAACCATGTTGCATAGCAAGCCACACACGAGCACCACTATCGCCGCGGACGGAATGGAAGACGACGAAGCGAATGGTAGCAGTGTTGGGACCGGCGTGACAAGTGAAGGTAGGTTAGTTAGGCATTATATACAAGCAAGTACACCGCCGATCGTTTCAAACATTCTGGAATTTTCTGCAAAGAATTTCTTCTCTTCAGCAAGAGTACCTTGTGGATATTCTAAGTGAAAGCCAATTCATCCGTTCAAATGTGAAGCATCAGAGAAGCTCGTTTTCAGAGCAAGTAACATGTTGCAACTTATTGATTGATAACAGGCTTTTAAACAGTTATTGATTGAAAACAGCCTTTTTTAAATGATATGCAGAAGGAAATGCAAGCAGAAAGTAACGACTACGAAAGTTATTTCCCAATTTCATGGTGACGAACTCTACCAACGTTCTTGGATCACGTTAGCAGCTCTCTCACTTTTTTACTAGAGCATAACATGTATTTACCAATATGTTGTCTGTCACAGAATTCCACAAAGGCTTCTTCTGCAGTCCTAATCGGTGCAGACATTGCATCGATTTTTTGACGATTATGCAATTTGTTCACCGTTATAAAACCAACCTCCCCCCAACGGGTTACCTGCTCATCGTGGCTAGGAGGTGTTTCTGCGTGTCGGGCTGCGACGTACAACGAGGGGATTCATCCCCTGGCAGAGTCCCCCAAGCTGCGAAGGAGCCTTGCGCTTCTAATAGAACGAAAATGAGGCGTCGCCTACTTTCTCTAGAGCCGATTGACACAAAGAAGCAACTTGTTTGTTTCATCTAATATTATGACAATCATACCACTGTCTAATGACGTTTTTATTTGAGAAATGAGCCCTCGGTCTAGACGAGGAGTAAACTTGAGGTGTATGAGTGGTGGAATTCCCACTTCGTATACTGTGACTCAGAATGAGTGGTAGAGTAGTCGAAGACTATCGTCGCCAAAGTGTCGTAAAAAATCGCTTCGAATGGATGTCTCGAATTTATTGACGTCTACATTGTTGGGGAAAATTCGAAGCGACAATTTCGGTGAGGTATAGGTTGTCGGGACGACAGCCATTCCTAAAATCAACTTATTTTTCTTATAAACAATTTTTGTGCCTAGCAATTACTATTATAACTTTCACTATCTACGCCGTTCGGACGTTATCGCGCTACGTAGAATTATAGCACACTGCAAATTCTACATAGACGATGGCGAATTGTGGAAGTTTGCATCGTTATTAGTTCTCATCCTAGAAGGGACGTCGACGTTTGGCTTTCGCATACATCGCGGTTGCCAACTTATGGTCAAAGAACTGAGTCATTTTCATTGCATTCTAAATCACATTCAAAAGTAATTGGTGAATTTCTTTCGATTTCTCTCAGATTAAGAAGCAATAAGTATGCATAATCCCCGAGTGAAAAAAAAATGTCAGGCGATGGCCCATACCATTAATTTAGGCGTAATACCCAAGTTTGCCGAGGATATAACACACATTCTTTACATTTTTGTTTAGAAAGCACGAGGTGTTATTTTGTTTCTTTATTCACACACAAGCTGAAGTTTCGGAGGGTTTCGCCTTACTCAGATCTTGGAAAGATTGCGTCGACAGCAATCTACCCAGACAAACAACTCCACAACCAAACAGAGAAAATGCCAAACCGAGACTCTAATCACATTGAACACATAGTAGCTTCTTTACACACCAACTGCGTTCTATGAGTCTCCCACTGAATATGTCACATTAGGACCAACCACACAGAGTTTACATGGAAACGTAATGTGCTCCCCAGGTTAGAATAACGGGTTTGAATACTGTCCATTTCGGATTCTGGGAATTAATCGAGCAACCAGCATGTGTACCTGAAGAGAGCAGAGGGAGGAGTCGCGGAACGTGGCGCGGTGATTGGCCTGGCTACGAAATTGTAGCTCGAAATAGGTGTAGAGGAAAAGCCAAAGCTCCAAACGACAACTCTAACCATAATAAGCTCCCATTTATCCTGCTGTTTATTTCAAATGAAGTAAGTGCAACTATAAAACGTTGCGTAAGAAGTGCTGGTCTAGAAAATTTGGTAACCGCAAATGAAGTGCCACTGAGTACTCTGATGCCAGCTAGTTCGTGACCGCCTGTATAACCGTCTATGTGCAACGCAAAGTTGTATAATTTGCCTTAACGGTGGAGACGGTGATTGCATGAGTTCGGGTACAGTTTATCTTATCTCTTGTAAGGCGTGGGGAAGGATACATTGGCGAAATGATTAGATCACCCCGTGCCGCCATAAAAAACACCTAGTCGGTAAACGTAAACCAAATACCTCACAAGGCGCGCATAAGACCCAGAGACATAACGGAGAGGACTTTGAAGGATGGGTAACGATCCTCGCACAGGAATCGGAAACACAAGCACACAAAATTCTCGAAGCATTCTGGATTAATCCGAAGAATACGAAAATGAACAGTAGGGAGAAATGCCTCATAATCACCCGTGATTTTGGGCAGTATTTAAACCTGTTGTTCTGATGAGAGGTAAACATTACGCTTCCATGTGAACCATGTGCGATTGGTCTCCACGTGACATATTCAGTGAAAGACTCATAGAAAGCGGTAAGTGTGCAAAGAAGCTATTCTGTGCTCAATGCGATTGAATTCTTGGTTTAGCATTTTCCCTGTTTGGTTATGCGGTGTTAGGCTAGGTAGATCGCGGTAACTTGACCTTTACAGGCTCTGAGAAAGGCTAAATCCGCCGAAACGTCAGCTTGTGTGTGAATAAAATAAATAAAGGATGGAGCCCTCGGCGTTGATCAATCCCTGACGGATAGACCAAGCATTAGACTTCATTAAGGATCGTTTGGAGGTGATTGAATGCATATATGGCCCTTACAATGACTCGCAGTAGCCTATCGATGTATCGAACGCGACCGCGGAGGGATGGAAGGCTTGGTGGGCCATGGGCACGGAGATCGATTCCATGTGTGGGTTGCAGGGTGCCTCCGACCACAGCTCCACACGCGTCCTTTGTTCGTGAATAAAGAAATAAAATAACACATAGTGTTTCCTAAATAAGAACATAAAGAATTGTTCGATCATTGTCGAGGCTAATAGAAAGTCGGTCGTGGGAGTTACACATTCGTTAGTCGATAGTACACTTTCCTCCTTTGGTAGAACAGAGTCGTTCATAGGATCAAGTCAGTACACTTATTTGCACTCAGCGATCTAGCGATTTCAAACGATTTCAAGCGCAAGCAATGACCACTGCAAAGCTTTGGAGTGAAATAAACTGGTTGAAATTGTCGACCAAATCGGCCATCAAAGGGGGTAAAATTCACATTAACCCGCGATCTGCGCTAATGTTCTAAACAAATCCACTAGCAATCGGAACCTGAAAAAAGTGCCTTCATCATGATCGCTACAAATATTTGACGGTAGCCTGTAATATTGAGAAAGGTTAGTTTAACATAGCACTTGATGCTTTTAATGGTAGAACTTACAAGTTCTTGCATTTTAGAGATAAGTTGCCCGGTTAAGATTATAACACACCCTTTGCACTCAAAACTTAAAATTCTTTTGTGGTAACAAGTGTTTGACAAGAAACTCAGTATGAAAGGAATGAGACAAATAGAAGGAAGTATACTGATAACGTACTTGGGGCGGTACGCGTTAACGAATGGAGGCTCCAAAAGCTCAAAAGATGAATTAAGAGGCCTCGAGACACTGGAAAGGCCGTTCTTAATGCTCATAGTTACTTTGATTTTGGAGATCGAAGGCATTTCATAATGAACACCGCTGTAAGTTTCTTCAACCGTGTTACGGCTGATGTGAGCGAGTCTAACTCATTCCTATCTGTAATTTTAAGTACATCTCTTGAAAGCATTTAAGAGCAGAAGTTGCAAGTTCCAGAACTTGGACGTCAGCTAATTCCGATCTTTAAGTAACTAGAACCCTGCCTGTGCTTCCTCTAATAATTTACCTCTTCATTGTTGATTGTGGACATTGCTAGGCAACAAGCTGCAATGCTCAGCGATTGGTTTATCGCATGACAGGTTCACCGATGCTGCGAAGCATTTCAAAATCGACATCTAGAAATTCATCTAAGAGTAAACTACTGCTAGAAATCTATAGAAACTTAGTTGTGAAGCTACAAATCTTCTTTCGGTTCAAGTTCTCTGTACTGCCGGCTGTTTATATCTAATAATTCATTGATACGACAACCAAAACAGCAACTAAACCACTTCGGTGCTTCGAAGAGATTTTTCCATGACGTATCATTCGGTTAACAAGTACGGAGTATATATGGTTGCCCTCATCAATTCGTCCACCTTGAACGGCAGACTTCCAGCACCTTTTCATGTTTCTGTAGCTGTTCATTCTTGGTCGTGCAGTGGAAAATTGATTATCGGTGTGTTTATACTTGTGGGCGGCCCCTTGAATACGTGTCATGTTTGCCAATTTTGGCTTACGAGCAGCGCTTTTTCTCAGATGCTTCGACGTCGAGCATATGTACAATGGGGAAGCAACTCGACGGACGACATCGCCTGGCTCGCATGCAGGCAGCTGTATTCGATCGGTATGTAATAATACATTTATTTATATTGTGGTTCCTCAGGCATTCAAAACACGGCATGTATTCTAATCTTAGGAGTAATTATAAATATCGTTTAGAATTGAAGAGATTAAGGGACCCAAACCCAAGCCTAAAGCCTAGCAGTGACGGATCACTGCAGTGCACTACTGTTTTTTTTAACTCTGCTAACAAATTGTTTGGGAATATCAGTTTTAAGTTCCATGAAAAGTACCGGGTCAAATGAATAGTTAGGACTAAGTTGCTTTAGAAAGTTGTTGATGAGTTCGAATGCAAAGAATTGTTCGTTTTCAGATACTGCACTGTGGTACTTTGTCATCCATGGAAAACAATAATAACAACCATATCGGTCTCGATAGCATTAGCAGCAACTTCTTTTTATCTTCACTATGATGTTTTCGACTTTGATCCAGCAAGGGTACGGCGGCTTTTGTTCTCTTTATAGTTTTACTACACTTTCCAAAACTTTCAACTTAAGCTGAAACAAAAAGCACTGGGACGGTTTCGTGGTATGGTCTCTGCCTTACTAGCACATAATGAGCCATGTTCTGGTTTTTGCTTAACCCTAAGTCATAGACTTCTCTCCTTAGTCGCTGTAGTTGCAATGCCCACTACTGAAGACGGCACTCTCTATAAGCAAACCTGTAATGCTGGTTCCTGCACCCCTCCTCCGGCGAGCACAGAAAATTCCTGGTTTTTCCAATCGATAAGACGCTTGGTTTGCTAGTGCATCTCGCAAATTAGTAGACTTTTTCTTACTTCACGGATAACTGATACGTAGAGTGTTGTACGGCAAACACAAGACCGAACAAAAAATTTTGAAATCCGAAAACTGGGGAATCCACAACAACGATCTGTAGGGCGGCCTGCCTTGTCAGCCGACTTCGTTGACACTTGAACTTCTACGGTACTTCATTCGAACGTAAAAGCGGAATTCGTAGCTTCCCCACCTCGTTCAAAGTAAACCATCTCTTTTGTCAGTTAAAATACGGGCCTATTCAATTCCAAATTAGTAAAAAAGCTATTTGTATATTAACACATATTAGTACTACTGGAAGAGCTCCGGTATATTTGATGCATTAGACATCTAAGGTATAACCCATTCATCTTCTGAATGATAAACACAAAAGCGTACATGCTTGTTGTTCTGAACTAGTACACAGTAATCCTTCATTGATAAGCTAACACGAGGTAGATAAAGAACTTTATTCGGCTAACGTTTCGAAGTCTTCGTCTTCCTCAGACTATCGACTCAGATATTCGACTCTGAGGAAGGCGAAGACGTCTAAACGTTAGCCGAGTAAATCTTTTATCAACTTCACGTTAGCTTGTCAATGAAATACAGGATGATTAGTCACACCGAGGCTTAGGTGAATTCTGTTTTTGGAGTAGCATACAGTATTTATAACAGGCCATTGAACTCGCTGTAGTATTTGATTAGCATTTATTTAATATTGTGCATGTTTTCATCATCGTTCGTAACAGGAAGTGGTGTTACTGGCTTAAAGAAATGAGTAATCAATTAGTCATCCTGTAGAAGAGCAAGCAATTAATCCTGGTATGCGCTTTGTGCTCCTTAGATCTCATTCTCATTTCATGAAACTTCAGTCATCTTACGGAACACTTTCAGTGCCTCTGGCAGAGAATCCATTTCTTAAAGCATATTATAGTTTAACCAATGGTATGAACTGCAAAGTTCGTCTTGGTTTTTTGAAAAGACTGTCCCGTAGGCGATGTCCTCACCCTATTGGCTCAACTAATTTGCCACCTTCAAACGTACACCGGCGTCTGCTCCTTCCCTTCCAGTTCCAGCTCGTGATTTAGAACCATTCAAAGCACCTGTCCGTTAGAAAAGTCGGAAAGGAAACCTAACAACCTATTAGAAAGTCTGAAGAACTTATGCGAGAACGAGTTAAACATAAGACATTAATTTTTCCTCTTTCATTTTTTCCCATAGTATTGTCGTTTTCACAGCCGCTTGCTATATGTCCCATAATTATCAGAATCAGCCGATACTATAATCAGACTTTGGAGGTGCTTGAAGAAATGCAAAGGATATTGACCCACAATGAGGTCGTGTGGTCACAAGAAAGTTAGTGTTTGTCATACAAGGCAGGAATGTGAATTTGTAATAATGCAGGGTTTCGAGACACGCGGAACGTCGTTGGCGAACGCACGATTGACTCTGGAAGCCATGAAAAGGGTCTCGGCTACTCCTATGGAAATATTAGGCTCGAAATTTCACGGAATTTTGACCAAAAGAGAAGCGAAGACGTTTAAAGTGTCAAATGATTCAACAAAACAACTTGTGATTCAAGAGAGAACGGAGAGGTGAGGTCACCATTACAGTATTCTTCATGGAATGTAGAGCGTAGAAATTAATAACTGCAATGATGCCGAGATATTTGCAAAACCCTGGACCATGGGTGTCTGCGTTAGTCCCCGGAAAGGGAAGTAGCGTGTTCAATACCCACCGCAGGCACCTGCGATCTTGAGTTTTGCAAATATCTCAGCATCATTGTGGCTATATTTCACATCATACCCTGTCATTTAAAAAAAACAGGCAGTAAATAAAAAGTGATTTTGTTGTAAAAATTAATGTTTAGTCGGTCAAACAGCACTACTGCTAGTGGTTACAAAGTGGCACTTGTGCTAACTACTTGGGTAATTTCATTAACCATTTCTGATTTCCTCAAAGCACCCGATTTCTACTGCACGATGTAGGCTGTGGTGCGGCATTAAGATGATTCTATCGATTTGAAAACAAAAGACAGCTGTAAATGAGTTGCGCCGTATTTGAGAATGGCTCATAGCTCAATATTTTTTCATAGGGGCTTATTATATGACCTATCTATCAATGATTTTAAGTGAATAACAATAATTTTTCAATATTGCTGCTTAAAAGCTTGACTATTTGTTAACTAGAGAAACATTTCGTCACCATCATACCATCGTCGGACAAGGTGTTGAAGGAATCATATTCCAGATAAAAGATCACTGGGGAAACGTTGCAGACCCGAATGTTTTTATTATCTAAACTGTGATGAAGCCTTTAGAGCTTTAAAGCACAAACACTTTTATGGCTAGAAATTGTGAATCATTCAATAAATAGAGGTTAACATCAAGTTAACTGAATAAGATTTTAGAAAAATTTCGTCTACCCACGGGAATCTTACAACACTAGAACCATTAGTGATCAACTATGACGACTACGGGACAGACACGGAGCCGAAAGCTTTGGACCTTGCCGATCCTTGCACTCAATATTTGGCGTTAGGAACCGCAATACCCTACGAATATGTCGATTATTCGGCAAAGATCATATTGGAAGTTAACTCTGCTGAGGTGAGTTCGTAATTAAACCATCTGTGCTGTCGCAATATAATGAGCTGTAGCGGAACTCGGCAGAATACAATAGACGATTGTTCCTGATTGTAGAGATTGACCGAAAGCACCTCTAGTACTAATCAATAGTGTTCAACTTCTTGGTCATCATCTCCATGTTGTTTGTTTATTCCAATAGAAATTCTACAGTTTTACAGCTTTTTTTCAGCTGTACACATTGCGAATGTTTCGCAAACTATGCGATGTGGATAGAGTTGTTGACGAGCTCGTTAACGCCTCTCACCACATGTCAGCATTTACGGGTTTGAAGCATTCCTTCAACCTTCCTCACTATTCGAACTGCTTGCGATTTTCGACCCCGAACACATGCGACGCGCTGAACGTCGACGAGTAGGTGAAAGTCCTACGCTTTTCCTTCTTTCATCGCAACCATATATTAATTTTAGCATTGAACTCCTGCATTCAACTGTTGAAAAGTGCCGTAAGGATCCCTCGCTAACGACTTGTAAATCGAAGCTTATAGGACAAGTGCTAAACTACTTACTTCCGAAAACATCGAAATCCGAGAAAACATACCTCGCAGTTCTTCTCAAGGTCAAATTTCCCTTATTCCCAAAGCGATTCGAACTGAGGAATTCATAGAATATCAAACCCATAGACTTTTGTGCAAAAATTTCAGATTACAGCTAGTAACGGTGTTCCAAACAACTTAGATTTCTATAACAACCTTCTTCATGGTCTCCAGCACTACTTTGGTAGTAATCCCACACTGAAAGGAGCATTTTTCAACGTGAAAGAGGACGAATTTCTTCGGTCGTTGATCAATGACTCTAAACTGTCTGGCATTTCAGGTAGGAATAATGAAATTGTGTGTGAATAAGGTTACGATGATCATTTTCTATCATCAAGATTCTAAAAATCCATGGAGGTAGTGTGAGCCAAGTTTGAAAACGCCCACTATTTCCCGTTACTCTTTCAGCCGGACTGATTCTTCTTTGTTTTCTGCTATATTCGCGCAGCTTTTTCTACACGCTGATCATCCTCACTACAATGTTCTTCTCAATGGGCATCGCGTTCTTCTTCTACACGGTAATTTAAGAAAAATAGGAGCGAACTCTGTTCTACTTTAGTCGAATCTTGTGTAAGCAAAGCAGTATTCTTTTTTTAGGTGATCTTACGCATAAACTTCTTTCCTTCGCTGAATTCTCTTGCCGTTGTGGTTATGATAGCTGTTGGCGCTGATGATGCATTTCTACTTCACACGTATTACAAAAAATACAAAAAGGTACTTCCTCTAGGTATTACTATTTATTGATTTTTCCCACTTACTTTTTCGCCCGAACCCACCGTTTTCCATTGTCGGAAATATTATTGCACAAAAAGAAGTCATAAATGCATGATACGGAACATCTTTACTTTTCCTTTTCTGCGAGTACTCTTTGGTTCTTAAGCATTTCATGTTATCATGGATACAATACTCCGAAGCCTTCGATATGTGCTTTCCACAAAGCCATAGTCTGCATTAGAATGGCACAAAATTTTAAATTCCCTTAAAAACCTAGGTACCCATTGGTCATCGGTGAGTTCACTTGGGCTTTGCAGAAATGGTCACCAGTTTAGACAAAAGATGATGTCTATGAAGTCGGTGGTCCTTACGTTCCACTTTACAAGGAGCAAGACCGTGTGCGCCAAGCCCTCCAAACCTCTCTACGTCACTCACTGGGGTCGATGTTCGTCACCTCGGCAACAACAGCTGTAGCGTTCATCTCCAACCTAACCAGTGACATCATAGTGATCAGGTACACATAGAATAAAACCGATTATGGTTCTGGCTTCATACTGCAACTATAAAAGTGCTCTTAGGGAGTAACGCTGTATTATAAATTTATTCGTTACAACGCGCCACACGTTATTATCGCATCTTTCCAAGGTGTGGATACCTGAGCTTGATCCTTTCAGAACATAACGAGAATATCTTTTCCAAAAAGCATGTTTTGCCTAAGTGACCGTTCTACACCTCATTTCTCTTGTCTCTTTATGCATTGCAATAGAAACAAGTAGATTCCTCAATAGAGTTAGAAATGAGACCCACCATATCCACCACCGATCATGTCTCCTAAATATAGACTTGCACAATACATGGTTAGTCTTTCGTTGATAAGTTAACACGAGATTAATGAAAAGCTCTATTCTGATAATCGGCGTCACCATCTCCTTCAGAGCAGGATTGGACCGAGTTGACGTGCACAGTTGTTACCTTTTACCACAGCTGTCTTCGTTGTGGCATCTAATCGAATCCACAAGGCGCACCGCTCGAATGGAATAACGAAATGACTGAATCACCGAGTGAAAAATGGAAGAATACATACTTATTGCTATGTTTAATTTTCTATTCACTGCCTATTATTCCTTCATGACAACGTATTATGTGGGTTACTACCACAGCGAAGAGTGGCATGCTGGTTATTCATCCCAGGGTTGGAGAAATGTCGGTTTTTGAAAAATTATTTCGCTTTCTGCGAACTGCTAGTGATACCAACTGGTAGGAGATGGAGTGTTCTGAGAAAAACGAACGAATATCAAAAGCTAATCACTATCAGCACCAATCGCCTTGAATAAAAGAACGCTGCCGAGTGAAATTAACCCATTCGGATGTTGCTCCACTGTTTTCGACTCGGCGCAACAATTATGTAGTGAAAGTAGTAGACATCAGACAATCGATTCTCCAGATTATAGCCCATATTGATCATAACACTCAGTGTTGGTGACGACTTTGACACTAAAATGCTTCTTATTCTGTGGATTTTGATTTTTGTTGTTAGAGTCACATAGATTTCCTGATCATCGTTGTTTCAGGTGCTTTGGTGTGTTCGCCAGTCTCACAGTGGTGGCAAACTTTGTCCTCGTACTATTTCTACTACCCAGCACCATGATCCTTACATATTCCGAACATCAACACAGATGTTGCTCTGAGTTCGACGTCGCATCAACGATTTCTTGCGTATTATATCGATGCCGGTACATCATTGTGGTTTTGGGATCAGCTGCCACCATCCTTGCGGCGGCAATTATATTCGTTTTTCCCGGATTTCCGTTGCCGCAGCACAACCCAGTGAAGGTTAGCGTACTACTAAGACTTTTACACGACCACAATATTTACTGCTAACATAACATAGATGATAACATAGATGTCTCCCACAATGCTAATGCTTATATTCCACTCCACTTATTTTCGACTGCTATAATTGCAACAGTTCTTAAACTGTATCAAATGCATCAAAAGAAAAACGTATTTCGTCATTGAAAACTCGTTCTCTTTAGAAAAGTTTAACTAGAAGAGAAGCACAGTGCGCATCGATTTCAATGCGCACCTACCTGGAACAAAGCTTTCTAGCAATGAACATTGTTAGCTAAAATGAAAGCGGTTAAAATCTACAGCTCTTTACCACTGACTTTGTTCATTCTTTGTTTTGTTCTGTTCTCATCTGTTATTCATATGCTCAACAAGAATTATTGCTTCATTCTGTCCACGAGGATGCAGTGATGTGCGGTAATCCTTGTGACCACCACGTTTGTGTCAAATGCTATTAAGCTTCAGCGTATTTACTCTTTTTGGAATTTAATTTTTAGCTTTTCTTCGGACAGTGCAGAACTCGTAGAGGCTCGTAATAGTAAGCTGTGCCGTGAATCGCTGTCATTCTCCAACAAACGCGGGCAAACAGCTAAAAACGTGCATTTAATCCATGAAATCTGACCCTGACCACTACCTGTGATGATCGTTTGGAAACGTTTTGCTGCGGCTGTCTTTCCAGGAAGTGCAGTGGAAAAATGCTTCAAAAATCAGAGTGCAGTTCTACAGTTTTTCTAAAGAGACGTACTCGTTGATAGCTATCAGTTAAATGCTGGAGGACAGAGCTCTTCCGAAACGTTTTTCTTTCTTAGCAATGTATGGAGCAAAGTAATTTGTTTAATTCACCATTAATTCATGGTCTTGATTTATTCATAAGCATGTACTAGCTTGTTATAAATCTTTACTGTGACTAACGTTTCGGCGCCACCGCCTTCTTCAAAGACGCAATGATTCAAGTTGAGTCTCCGAGGCAGTTATTTCTTGCAACGTATATGTTGGCGTAGTAGTTGCATCGAGTCGACAGGAATAGAATGAACAGCTGTAAAAATTAAGTCGCGTCCCTCTATATTTGTATAGGTAATTCTTCTTGTCATCGAGATAGTCTTATCCCACCAAACAGTTCCTCACTGTTAGACTCGCACAATCAAGGTTCAGTAGAAGGCAATGGCGAAAACAAGATGTGGACGCTTCACTGCGACGCTAAATCAAAATGAAAATCGAAAATGATTAACCATTATGTTAACTTTTTATTTGCTGCTTATTACAGCTTTTCATAGCAGGGTACTATACAACCACAACGATGCTGAGACATTTGCAAAACTCCGGATCGCAGGTGTCAACGATGGGGTACGAACGCGCTATTACCCTTTTTCGGGGCTAACGCGTTCACCACCGTAAAATGTGGGTCCTTCGTGTCACCTGTCTCTCAGCTAAGCAGCGCGTGCTTTCCCCACCACAGACACCTGCGGTCCGGTGTTTTGCAAATATCTCAGCATCATTGTGGTTGTATCACACCTAATATCCTGCAGTGAAAAATTGTAATAGGAAGTAAACGAAAAGTTAACATAGTGATTTCGATTACAGCCTCAGATTGACCACCGTTTTTATTCAAGTAAACTATCATCCTTCTTTGCTGAGATTAAATGCCAATAAGGTAAGCTCAGAGATAACTACTGATTTCGGTTTTTAGATGCATGCTTTGTAATTATTTTTTAAAAAATTTACGCTGACAACCGCTCAAGGGGAGTGCATGAGCTATGGGTGAGGTGAAAAAGTCATTGTCAGTGGAACATGGAAGCGAAATGACGTTATCCGAAAGACATTAAATCTAAAGACAATCAGATTCCGCCGAAATGGTGGAGTTGTCTTGTCATCCCACTAATCATTGACCTGAATACCTGAAATTCTAGAAAGTAAAATGGATGGAGAGCAATTTTAGTTTTCAAAGCATTTTTTCCCTTATTGAAACATTCCGCCATTTTGTAAGTGTTTGGAAGTAGTGTACCGGTCGATCGCTCATCATGCACCACTAACCGAACTCACTGCCTACCGCTCTGGCTGTCGAACACTATAAATTGTTCTTCAGCTGCTCACCAACTCTCATCCATATGAATGGTACTTCCAAAATGTCCATAGGTTCAATTTCGGATGGAAAAGCAAGTGGAAGTTTATGGAGTACTACGTAGTTGGAGTAGAAAAAGTAAGGTAAGATAACCTCATACAAGTTTCACAATAGCTGTAGATAACCGAAATGCTATCATCAGGATTGGCTGGATAGTTTCAGTTCGGCTGTTATCTACTAAATAACGCAACCGTTTTACGCAGTTTATAGAATTTGTTCCTGTGCTTTACTAAGGACGAAATTTTGTTGTTTTGTCTTTTGTCACAATTTCAACTTACTATTTACTGCCTACTCTTTTTAATGGCAAGGTTTATTTTGCGAAATATAACTTTCAATGATGCTCAGATATTTGCAAAACTCCGGACCACAGCTGTCTGCGGTGGGGAACGAACGCGCTATTGTCCTTTCTGGGGAGTAACGCGTTCACCACCACACCATGCGGGTCATAGTTAGAGACAGGCGGAACGAAGGACCAGCATGGTGTGGTGGTGAACGCGTTGCTAACCGGAAAGGACGCGTTCGCTCCCCACCGCAAACACCTGCGGCTCAGAGTTTTGCAAATATCTCAGCATCATTCATTGTTATATTTGTCTTTTGTACTAAAAGTGAACCACGCCTGCGAAGTGCTAGCCGAGCAATTCTATTTGGTGCCACCTTGGTTCGGTACATGGAAATAACGACGTTTCAGTTATTTCCAGAAGAATGTTATATAGTGAAATCAACCACCTATACTTACAACCTCTCCTATTTTAGACACACGAAGCTGTTTGATCCATATCAGCAATACAGCGTTGAGACCAAGGAGTTCAAAGCAACTATAAGCACATTGAGACACATACAGGTGAATTTGCTACGTGTAATCAACATATAAATAATCATAAAGAATAAAGCTCTCAGCGTCGATCAATCTCTTAGGATGCACCTTGCATTCGACTTCATTAAGCACCGTTTGGACGTGATTGAATGCAAATCCTTACAATGACTCGCGGTGGCCTAGTGCTATGTCGAGCCAATGCTGCTATGCTCCACTAAAAGCCTGGTACAAATTTGACTAGCCGAAAAGGATGGAAGGCTTGTTGAACCATGACCACAGGATCCCATGTTTGATGCAGGGAGTCTCCGACCACTGCGCATCACGCGCCCAAGTGATCAGACGCGCTTATATAATGGCCTCGATAACTTATCCGACATAAATATAGCGACAGATGTACTACCCACATTTAATCATTTACAACAACATGCAAAAAATTATGCGTCGTAATAAGCGGTCTCCACATAAAGCAAGGAACGACTGCATATGTGTTGATGCTGTTTGCCTACAATCCTCCCATGAGCGATCTGGACACCTTTAGTCGCGAGGATACATGGAGAAATCATCAGTCAAGCGTGGCTACCCTTTCGAACAAACCCAATCAATAGTGAAGAACTGTCATACAAAGTTGAGTAAATTAGTTAATTATTAAGATAGAATATATATTATTCGATAAAATAATGTAAAAATTTGCCCATTTCCTTCATTTGACTTAGCATCGGATTCTTTCATCAGCTTGAAAAAGC